TTTTTTGAATGGTGAGAATTCCTCAGGCAAACTCAACTACTGAACTCTGCACTTTGAACCACTGAACTCACGCACTTTGTCTCAGTTATCTCCCATTCCTAATGACTGACATTGTATATACTCAGTAATCATTCAGTTATTGAATTAATAGTTTCTTATCATTCCTTTTATCACTGTTACCTGTCTTATGCTTGCTTTTACTGTTTCACTGTTTGCAGCATTACTTCTTCATTTATGGCTGCACTGGATTTTCATCGCGGGCATTGGCTTTCTTCTAGTTGCGACAAGCAGGTGCTGTTCTCTTCTTGTGGTTCTCAGGCTTCTCATTGCTGTGGTTTCTCTTGTTGCAGAGCACAGGCTTTAGGGCACATGGGTTTCCGTAGTTGCAATTTGAGGGCTCTAGAGTGCGGGCTCAGTAGTTGTGCCACACAGGCCCAGTTGCCCCGCAGCATGTAGAATCTTCTTGGACCAAGGATCGAACCCGTGTCCTCTGCATTGGCAGATGGATTCTTATCCACTGAGCCACCAGGGAAGTCCTTGCAATATTTTAAAACTTATAGTAGATTGATTTTGGGGCTTGCCTGGTGGCTTAGATGGTTAAGAATCTGCCTGCAATGCAGGAGACCTAGGTTTGATCCCTGGGTTGGAAAGTTAATTGGGGAAAGGAATGACACCCCACTCTAATATTCTTGCCTGGAATATTCCATGGACGGAGGAGCCTGGTGGGCTATAGTCCATAGGTTCGCAGAATTGGACATGACTGAAGTGACTTGGCACACACGCACACAGATTGACTTTTGCTCATTGACTTGGAAATAAAAAATTTCATCAGCCTTTTATTTTATTTTATTTTATTTTTCGTCAGCCTTTTAAATATGTCCATCTTTTGTATATATTTGGTCTTAAGTCAGGTGGGAAGTAGTGATTCACCTATCGAGCATCTACATTTGGGATGTTATTCTTTGAATGTAAGTATAGGATACGAGCGTAGCATCATTCTTTAATGATATTCTTTACTCTGATGAGAAGTCCACTTTTAATACATCTGAAGCATTGTGTTTCACCAATACAACATTGTAAATCAACTGTATTTCAGTTTAAATACATAAAATATTATCTCTCTCTTTAAAACACACTCCTAGTCTCATCTTCCAGTCATCAAGTTTATCCATCTCTAAATCTTTTTAATGTGTCCTTTTAACATTAGTTATGCTATTCATGGCACTGTTTGTACTTTAGTATGACAGTATTAGCAATTTTATATCATCTACCAATTCCTGCTGATATTTTTATGTGCCTGTCTTTAGTTTTTATGATAGTTGATTTTATACTTTTATTTTTCCCTTCTGTGTAATTATTTGGATGACATAATGGGATAAATTTATGATTCATGTGCACTATCTTTTTGGCGGGAAATAATTTGTTTTATCAGTTTTATCTGATTCTAGAATTCAGATAATTTTTCAGTGAAGTACTTGGTGATAAATCAGTGCTTGCCTGTAGGCCAAAATTTTTTATATGTATAATCTCAACCCTTGAGGACTTCATAATCCTGATGTTGAGTGGTTTATGCTTATGTAATTTCTTGAGCTTTCTTTTAGTTGAATGATTTTTCTTTATCTTGTTTTCTCTTTCAGTACATGAACATAAAACTTACATTTTATAAAATTTGTCTTGTTTGGCAACAGAGTAGTATTGTTTTGGGTTCATTTTTAGTTTTCTGTCCTTTGTTTTCTTTTAGCATCTTTACCTCCTCTATTATTCTTCAGCGCTTTTGGGATACTTTCTAAGCATGTCATCTTTATTCATCACTGATTTAATTTTGTGTATTGTCACATAGCTTATTCTGTCTTCATAGCATACAGATTTAATTTTCTGTGTAAAGTATCATCATGGATTTTTATTACATACCGCTTTTTCTTTTAACTTGTTGGTATATCCATCTTTTTACTTATATCTCTTCTTCACAAACCACCCCCGGTTGTAGTGCAATACAATGCTTTTTAATTAAAACCCACTTCTGAACTTTGAAAGTTCAGGGAGAAAGGGAGAAAAAAAAAGCAAGGGAACAGAAAGGAAAGAGCAGCAGTTATCGCATGGCCTCACCGTGTGTGAACTCGGGCTAGTTTGGGTGTATTCAAGACCTTCTTCTGTGGCAGCACTTCCCTGGTGGCTCAGACAGTAAAGCGTCGCCTACAATGCGGGGGACCCAGGTTTGATCCCTGGGCTGGGAAGATCCTCTGGAGAAGGAAATGGCAACCCACTCCAGTACTCTTGCCTGGAAAATCCCATGGATGGAGGAGCGTGGTAGGCTATAGTCCATGGGGTTGCAAAGAATTGGACAGGACTGAACGACTTCACTTTCACTTTCTTTCTTCAGTGTCACAAAGAGCCTGTGAACCACCAGTGATGTTTGATACAGACCTGGGGATGATCTAGCAGGAAAAGAAAGAAGTTTCCTGTTCTTAAAACCTACTATCTCAGATAGACAGGGTCCTGTGTATAGCACAGGGAACTCTGTTCATTATCTTGTAATAAACTATAATCACAAATAAAATGAAAAAGAATATATATTAAAGAATATCTTTGCTGTATACCTGGAATTAAAACATCATTGTAAATCAACTATACTTCAATAAAAAATGAATAAATCAATAAAAACAATATTTATAAAAAAGGAAAAACCTGCCATCTCACAGTGGAGCCTGTTAACCACTGCCAAAATGTTTAGGCAAATTTATGATCAAATATGTGATGGCTCCTTCTTTTTAAAAAAATTTAAAATTCAGCTTTAATTTTTAAAGCTGAAAGCTGAAAATCTCACCTTTTGTTATATAGCATTTTATATTTGATTGGACTGGTAAAATAAAAAGATCAGTATTGAGGACCATTCATCTTGTAAACAGTGTTTTTAAATTTTTTCTTACACATTTCCATATAGATTTATTCTTGGTCATTTAAGTGATAGGTATGCTTTTTTTTTTCCATTTATTTTTATTCGTTGGAGGCTAATTACTTTACAATATTATAGTGGTTTTTGCCATACATTGACATGAATCAGCCATGGATTTACATGTGTTCCTCATCCCAATCCCCCCTCCCGCCTCCCTCTCCATCCCATCCCTCTGGGTCTTCCCAGTGCACCAGCCCCGAGCACTTGTCTCATGCATCCAACCTGGGCTGGTGATCTGTTTCACCCTTGACAGTATACTTGTTTCAGTGCTGTTCTCTCTGAACATCCCACCCTCTCCTTCTCCCACAGAGTCTAAAAGTCTGTTCTGTATATCTGTGTCTCTTTTTCTGTAGGTATGCTTTTTATTTTAATTTTTTTCTCCTATAATCATGCCTACATTTTAATAATTAAATCTATGGCACTTGCTAAAATAGCTTCTGGAAAAGTTTAATGTGCTACATGCTGGTAAAAAGAGGCATATCATTTGCTGATGTCGTTTAGCAGCCACTAGGTACGCAAGAGATAGAAAAAAAAGTAACCTGAGATATGTACTAATAATGGATTTGATTATACTAGCTGGGTTTTTTTTTCAGTATCATTTAAAAAGTTTTTGTTGTTCTATTTTTATTCAGATGACAGAAAGTAATTTTTCGTTGAAGAAGATAGAAATTAGTGTTTCAGAAGCAGAAAAGCGAACTGGAAGAAATGCCATGAACATGCAGGAAACATATACTGCTTACCTCATTGAAACAAGGTGAGTGATGAGAATTATGTCTGAAGTTAGAAAAAGCTTTGGTAGCTGTTGATGCAAATTCTGTTGTATAGTGGAATCATTTACAAGTCATTGTCTTTTTGTTTCTTTACTTTTTAACAGGTGACCGGGTTTTCTTTTACCCTGGTACTCTAGCTAAATTTGAATGTATTTGTTTTGGAGGGAGAACGAAGGTTACTGGATGTTACTTGGTGCTTGCTTTAGTGTCAAGTAACATCCAGATCCCATCCACATCACAGGCCTGCCCATGCGGGATACACGGGTTCATCCCTGTTTGGGAAGACCCCACGTGCCTCAGAGTAACTAAGCTCATGTGCCACAACTACTGAGTCTGTGCTCGAGAGCTCGGGAGCCATGACTTCTGAGGCCACGCGCCACAACTACTGAGGCCCGCCCCCTAGAGCCTGTGCTCCACGGCAAGAGAAGCCACTGCGCACCGCAGCTAGAGGAAAGCCCACGCAGCAGGGAGGACTCCGCACAGCCATAAGTAAGGTTATTTACTTCAGAAACTCACCAGAAAAGTCTTTTACTTCATAAGCAAAAAGTTAAATGAGTTAAACTGTTTTGTCCAGAGAAAAGCAAAGGGTGTGTGTGTGTGTGCAGTCATGTCTGACTCTTTGTGACCCACCAGGCTTCTCTGTCCATGGGATTCCCAGGCAAGAATACTGGAGTGGGTTGCCATTTCCTTCTCCAGGGCCTCTTCCTGACCTAGGGATCGGACCCACATTTCCTGCATTGGCAGGTGGATTCTTTACCACTGTACCACCTGGGAATTTTGCTTATTATAAATAGTTTATATCAAGACTACACCGACAAGCTCTTTTCTGTGTGTGAGCTGAGAAGCAATACTTTCAGTTAAAACAAGTAGGGGGGGCTTTCCTGGTAGTCCATTAAGACTCCATGCTTCCAGTGCAGCGTGTGCAGGTTTGATCCCTGGTTGGGGAAATTAGATCCCACATGCTGTGCAGTGTGGCCAAAATATTTTAAAAAAATTAATAAAAAAGTATAGTCCATATTTTTTAAAGAAAAGTAGAGGGACTTGCCTGGTGGATCAGGGAAGTATCCTGCCTGTGTACATACATGCATATGTATCAGAGACTTTTAAGTCAATTTTTAAAAAGTATGGTCCCATGAGAGGTTTTTTTTTTTTAGTTTAATTAGCCATTTTAAAATATCATACTTTAGAAATTTGTATTGGCTCTAGCTTTTTAAGTAAATTCTTAAATTTAAAACTAAAAAGGATATTTTTAGTATATGCCTGTTTCTTCATCCAGTTCAACAATGAAATTAGCTGTTGATTAACTTTACTGCTAGAAGAACCTCTTGATTTCAATAATCTGGAATAATTTATAGCTGTTTACTCTATTTATTATAGTTGTTTACTCTTGACTTTGAAATGAATAGAGAATTATAATTCAAAAGTTGGAGTTAGAAGTGACCATACATGAGTAATATAGCTAGCCTCTGGATAAATATCTAGGAACATCAGTGAATAATGTGGTACACAAAAGGATATTGAGTTGACTGTCACACTTATATTTCATTTATTTTAAAACAGTGATTCTTAAACTTTAAAATATATAGGAATCAGCTGAAAAATTTGTTAAGCTACAGAATTTTGAGTGGGGTCCAGGAATTAACACATTTTAAGCTTAAGTTCCAGGTGTTTTTGAAGCAAATAAGCCATGGACCATAGTTTTATCTTTCAAATACAAAAGCTTTACATTTTAAGATAGTCAAATTTATCTTTTTTCTTTATAAGTTGTGTTTTCCCTGTCTTAAATTCTTGCCTATCCCATATCATATGCACATCCACTTTGAAAATTACTGTTTATAGATAGTTTATAAATAATTTTGTCAGCACTGTAACTGACCTTCAGCAGCCACAGAACCCTGGAATTTATTATTTTGGTCATGTAGAATTCTTGCTGTAATTCAGTGTTATGCAGAGTATCTTCGACACTATAAATATTGTTGAGCCTTGACATTGACTAAAAGTTCAACTTTATCACATAGCTCATCAACCTACTCTGTGGACACATGAAGAAAGTCAGTTTAGCAGTTGCCTATCGTGTTACAGTTTAATAGGCTAAGGGTTAATAAGGCTAAGGTCATTGATTTTGATTTCTCCAGGGATTTCTATGTTTTGCTGTTCATTAAGTATGAACCCTTTTAAAATAGGTAAGAACACTGTGTGTATTAACAGGTAAGATGCCTCTTTTGTCTTGGGAAGCTGTATGATGTCTTTCCTGAATTCTTCTAATTTGTAAAGCAGGGCTAAAGATCCTATATACTTTGTCATATTAAATGGTTTAAACGGTTACATTTAATTTAAATATTGCATGTGAAACCAATTATGTGCTGTTAAACATTTATTAAATAATTGGATAAATGGGGTAGTTTTGTGGTCCAAAGAAAGTCTTCTCTATGCTTTTAGGTGGCTTCCGCTGACTTCTTTTTGTGGGCTTTGAAATAAAACAAAGCAAAAACAACTTGTAACAGCTCTTCTAACAGCCTTTAGGTGTACTGCCTATAGGCTATATTTATCTACTTTTTAGCAAGATTTGGGCTCTGTTGGTAATAATTTTGAATAATTTGAAACTTGATATTAACCCAAGATATGTTTTTTTAGCTGAAGTCGAAAATCTGAATTAGAACAGTTTTAGTCAGCTAATGGTTAGGTCAACTCTTTAAAATGAATTATCATTTAATAATCCTGTATCTTGCCATGAAAACCATTTGTATATTTTGAATTTCATATTGTTTCCCTTTTAAATTAATATACAGTGAATTAATTTAGAAAACGATATATAAATAATAAAAACAATGAACATCTTGTGTTGAGCATGGTGTGGTGTATCCATTTTCTCGAGACTTTATTCTGAGACTGATTTAGCCTCTCTGCCTTTATACTGTACTTGCACAAATGCACATTTTGGTTATATGCATGTTTCTTGGAGGATCTGTAAGTTATTTTCTATTAGGAAATGGGAAGGTTCCAATAATGTTTAGAAGGCTGATGTTTTCTAATAGTCATTATGCTAGCAGAAATGATAAATAGTCAAAATAATTTCAAATATTATTTTTATGATTTTACCCAGCTTTCCCCCCAATTGAACTTTTATATGGATGACTCATGGCATTACCTGCAGCTCTTTATATTAAATATAAGACTAGAATTAATTTGTTACATCCCTTCTTGCCGCTCTTTGACAGTTTACTTTTGTGGATCTTTTCTGGCACTTGGATGCATCTGATTTTTTGATGATGTTAAATTGAGGATTTTTTTGGTGTCATGGTCTTTGGCATGAATGTTGTTCTGTCATTGTGGCAGGAGTTGTTCTTTCATTGTGAGAGTTAAAAGTACTTTTTTCTTTAATGAAACACTGGTGAAGCCAGACTCTTACTATATTATAAAGCCAGCCATTATGTTAACTGAATTATCTTATATTGAGGCTTTTGTTGAGAAGAATATTCCTAATATGACTATTTCTCTCAAGTTCAAATAGGTTTTCTATAATGGAGGAAAGTGGTTAGGAGTGAGGGCTTGGGAATCAGATGGATCTGAGTGCTCTACCCACAAATCTTTGTGATTGAAGGAAGAGCATATACCATGCAGCTGCTTTCTCATCTGTGAAATGGGGACAGTAATCCCTGCTTCACCAGGTTTGTTGTAGGAATTAAATAATACATGAAAAGTTCTCAGTGCCTGGTTCATAGCCCTCCTGGTTCATAAGCATTCAGTAAATGGAGTTACCAGTTTTAAAAGGAGGTCGTATGCATGCATTTGTATTTTTAAAAAACACTAGAAATCTTATTCTGTCTTTTTCAGGTCAGTTGAACATAGTGATGGTCAGAGTGTCCTAACAGACTCACTGTGGAGGCGGTGTAGTGCATTTGAGTGGTTGAGAAACTACCTTTTAGTTTACTATCCACATATTGTTGTGCCACCTCTACCAGAAAAAAGGGTAAGGAGTGAAGTGGTGGTGTAGTTTAGAAGTAGTTAGCATTGAGACTATTCTTCATGATTGTTTTGTTTATCTAGGCAGAATTCGTTTGGCATAAACTCTCTGCTGACAACATGGACCCGGATTTTGTGGAAAGACGACGAATTGGTTTAGAAAATTTCCTCTTGAGACTTGCTTCACATCCCATCCTTTGTAGAGACAAAATCTTCTATTTGTTTTTAACACAGGTATTTTTCTTTTATTTAGTCTTTTAAAAAATTTCATTTGACTTGGGATTTTTAAAATTTTAAATTGTGGAGTGCTTCTTCTTAAGGATTCTCTTGGAGCTGCCCTTTGTTAATTTATATGTATTTCATGGTTTGTTTTGAATTTCCAAAGTATTACATCATTCTTCTGGCTAACATTTTTATACTTAAAGATACTAAAGATTGTACTTTTTGGTATCACTTAAATGGTATGAAAGTTAGTCTTTAGTGTTTTGAATCCCAGATCTATAAAATCTTGGGGCTGTCTCTGGTAATCTTTTGGAATCTGGATTGTATGTGTAATTTTGCAGTGAAAAGAATTCTTTTTTAACCCCTCTTCCCCCATCTCCCATGAGGGAAGAACAGAATGATGGGTATTTTATTTGGGATATTACTTATGGGCTATTTTACAGTGATATCTAAAGTTACCTTTAATTTTTAGGAAGGCAACTGGAAAGAGACAGTAAATGAAACTGGATTTCAGCTGAAGGTAAGGGTAATTGTTATGAAATAATTTGTCATGTCTGTTAACAATTTCTAGCCCAGTGCCATGCGTTAATGGGTACCTGCTGTTTATTGGAAGTGAATGTTGTATGAGTGAATATTGGAAATAGGCTTTACAGCTAATATCACTGGTAAAGTTTTTAAAGAAACAATGCAGTTTATTTTTGATTGGTGTAATTTTTGTTACTAGTGAGACTATAATGGACATATTTATGTATGAATTTAATTCTCTTGGGAAAGAACATTTTGAAACAATAATTTAGGTGTAAGTTAGATTTTTCCCACAGTATGGTCATATTATGCTTTTTATGTTTTTTTCTTTCTTCTGTCCTTATCACGGTCACTGTCAGTGGTGTCCGCATAATTGCTCACTCTGTTAGATAGAAAAGACACTTCTAAAGGGTTGAACTTGGGTTTTCCTATCTTAGTAGGCTAAAAGAGTAGTCATCAGTCACGCTTATTTTGTATACTGAGACAAGGTGGCCAGTTTTGAGTGGGCATAGGATTCATTTTGTATCAGTGATATAGGTTTAATTAGATTTTGATTGCTTATCATATTTGATCATTAGAAGTTAGTGTTTGGGAATGGAACTGTTTCCTAAAAATTAAGGAGCGTGTCAGTCATAAGGTGACTGCCCTCACTCTGCTCTGCTCTCCCCTCCCTCTTGTTTCCAAAAGTAATTTAACATTGCAGATTTTTAAGTTTTCATCTCTTATGTAAACAGAATTAGGTAAGAAGAAAAAGTAATATAAATTGATATATAAGTTGATAAACAGTTCATATGATATTGCAATAACAGAAGTTCAGTAGATTTAGGCAGCAAGAACAGAATGTCTTTACAGTAATTTTAAGAACTAGAGATTAATGCATTGGCATATAGGTGTTTTAATTTTAACACAAAAAGACAGCAGAAAATGTTTTTTTCTTCACAGAAAATGTAATTAAGTGTCTAATATTTTCATAAACCAATTTTAACTTACTGGTTCAACTTATGAGTTATCTGAAACTCCAGATAACATGAAAATTAGTATTTTCTTAGCTATAACTCACTGTGGTGCTCAAAAAGAGAATAATGGAATTTTAAAGATGATTTGAAATAACTGTGACTTTAAAAAATTGTTTATATTTTGATAGAATTTTATGAGAACTAGTCCATGATTTCTTAGGAGCTAATATTAAAGAAAAGAACAAACTGAAATATTTTTTTGGGTAATGTCTCTTTATATAATAGAAAATTTAAAAACTTTTAGTCATTGTTTTAGTCATTATTTTAGTAACTGGTTATCAGTTGTTTTTCCTTAGCGCAGTTTTTGTGGGTAACTGGGTGGCCTTGAGAAAATTCATGAATTTCCTCATCCATTTAGACTCTTCTGTTTACAGAGTGCTTTGAATCTTGTGTGTCAATGCTACCTAAGTGTTTAGATACGATGTTTTATATTTGGGTAGCCTTATGGTAAAATCCTAGTTTCACTTTTATAAAATCTTTGAAAGGTAATACTCTGTACACAGTATTAGTAATTTGAAAAATAGAAATTGAAATGGACTAGACATAAAATGTATAGGGAAAATTTGGAAAAACTTGCAAGGAAATGGAACCTTTTTGACTAACACATGCATGTACATTCATGCATACATTTAAGCATGTACATGCATCTCTGTATGTCTATATATATATAGACAGGCTTCCCTGGTGGCTCAGAGGTTGAAGTGTCAACCCTTCCAGGGTTGGGAAGATCCCCTGGAGAAGTAAATGGCAACCCACTCCAATATTCTTGCCTGGAGAATCCCAGGGACAGAGGAGCCTGGTGGGCTACGGTCCACGGGGTTGCAAAGAGTCGGACATGACTAAGTGACTTCACTCCACTTCACTTCATGTATGTATAGAGAGAGAAAGACTCACTTCTCTTATCTAGAGATTGTGTATTTGGTAGTTTTAACTAACGTGATCACAGTCAAAAGGTGGGATTTAGAACTGACTTCTGAGATGTTCAGATGGGTGTGACATAACTTACTACACTGCTTACAGATATACTTTGGTCCTTTCAGATAGTATCCAATTAATTTTATTGTAGTTATCCAGACAAACTTGACTATTTTTAGTCTGCAGCCTACTAGAAAGTTTTAAAGGTCTAAAGGTGAATACTGCTGGAGATAGGCATACTGTGACAATAGTGAGAATTGACAGCTGAGGCTGCTGGTAAAGTATAACAGTGACATGAGAGTCAGACACTGCAGTACTGGGGTCTGTGGCATGGTGCCAAATCCCCACACACCTTTGTAGCCTCTCGTGCTTCATTGCATCACAGGTGGATTCAGTATTAGTTGTTTATAGTGGTTACTTTGAGGCTTCCAGAAAAGGTTGAATTGCTGGCTGAATACTTATAATTCAGTGTTTTTTCTTCTTCTTCTTTTTAGCATGCAACTAGTTTTTTGATGTAAAAAAATTTTTTTAAATTCAATGTTTCTTCAAGTGTGGTCAGTTGGCTTCATGAGTCTCAATTTGTTGGGATTGTTCAGAATATTGAATCCTAGAGTTCATTGCAGACATACTGACTCCCATGGGCCTAAAACTTGACAAACATTGTTGTAAGATGACAGATAAGAATGTTTTTAGGAAGATAATTTTAAAAGATTATCAAAATTGGTAAGAAAAAAAAGTTTAGAACAAAAAGAAGCATTTTGTCTGAATATCATTAACATTAAATGTTTACTATGTGCTTAAGCACTGTACTCTGATACAGTGTTCATGCTTTTTTTGCTGGCAGTTGCTTCAGTACCTTTGAGGTTAGTTCAGTATTATCCCAGCTTTTTAGGTCAGGAACTTGAGAAAGTGACTTAATCCACAGTCATATAGTTATAAGTGATAGAGGCTGAATTCAAGTCCAGGCCTTCTTAATTACCATTCTGTATTACTTATCTTTTCACTAGCTACTTACATAATTAATGTATATAAAGATGGTTGGTAAAGGAATGTTGGAAACTATATTTCAGTGAAAATGAGATTGTTCTGAGTCAGACTGGAGCTAATATAGTGTTATAGGTCAATAATACTGCAATTAAAAAAAAGAATATTTGAACTTGGCTATTGGATTGTCATCATCAAATTGAAATAATAGCTTTAATTTCTCTCTTCTAGACATGTTTAATCTGTAGTTTGGGCCTAAGAGTTTACATTCTCTTAAATATTTTTAGAGTATCACACTCAGCAAGATAATTGTAAAAATTTAGTTGTATAAAAGTCTGTGCTTTATTTTTTTTTGGCCATCCTACATGACTTGTGGGATCTTGATTCCCCAACCAGGGGTTAAACATTCAATGGACACCCTTGACAGTGAGAGCACAGAGTTCGAACCACTGGACCACTAGGGAACTCTCTCCCCTCCCCCCACCTTCCCACTCTTGTTCTTCATTTAACACAAATATGAGCAACAGACTTTTTCATCACTGTTGTATATTGGCATTCCTTTGTTTTTCTTGAATGTCTATATGATACTTTTGTTAATTCACTGAAGGGAGATCAGAGAGCTTATCTTTCGAGTAACGAACATATTAACTAGTTACTTTAATTTAAAGAAATACCAATTTAACCCAGTTACATGAAAGTAAGTGTCATCCATATGCCCCAATCTTAAATGAATTTATACTTCCCTGAATTTAGGGAAGTATCTAGAACCTTGTTTGTTGCCTGGAGCAGGAACTGCCAGAGACAAGATCTGAGCCTTTAGGATCTCTGCTAAATCTGGAGATTCCAGATGCTAGGTACCTACAGACTGTCGGATACTCTTCTAGGTGCTGTGGATCCAACTGTGAATAAGCTGGAAACATTCATAAGCTCTATGTTCTTATGTTCTTATGGAGCTTATACTGAAGTAGTTGAAGACTTTAAATTTACATCTGTTTAAGATACTTTGAAAGTTATAGGTGATAAAAAAGAAAACAGTTATTGTGAGAGAATCTGACAGCTGGAATTTTTTCCCCAGGGGTTATTTTGAGATATGACAGTATAATATATTGTTCAAATGGAGACAGTTTTGAGAATAAAAAGAGGCTCTGCTAATAATTAGGTTAGGACAGCAGGTGTAAACCAGTACTGTTCTGGGCAAACTGGGTCACATGGTTGAAGAGAACATTTGAGCTGAGACCTGAATAATGAGAAGCCTGCAGTGAAGTCAGCCTAAGGGGTCAAGGAAGAAGACTGTTAGAGACAGGACACACAGGTAATGGTTTACGAGGTAAGGTTTGGAGGAAGGTAAGAATCTGAAAATGAAATAGAGGAAAGACAAGGTCTAGGACAAGAGAAGTATAATATGTAATAGGAATTGGAAAGGGAAAGGGAGGTGGGGATTGAAGAATATGGGAAGGTAGTAAGTTGGGACTGTAGAGTAGTCGGGGTTTTTTCCATCCATCCAGTGTACTTAGTGCATGTTTTTCTTGTGCCAGGCATTGAGAAGTGCTGGGGATACAGGAATGAAAATGCAGTTTAAAGTAGTGCCATGGCGGCTGTTGTGCAGCTCTCGGGGCCCCATTCACATTGTGTTTTTCCTCGTGGCTCTTATATTTTCACGGACAGCTAGGAAACAAGCAAACGACCCAGGGGATTTCAGACGGTGCTGTAGTGAAGGAGACAGAGTAGGGTGGTGTGAAACAGTGGTGTGAGGGCTTCTTTAGATATTTAGTGGGGAATCTGATAAGATGGATGAACGGTAACCTGTCAAATTTGGGTAGGGCTTCTCTTGTGGCTCACCTGGTAAAGAATCCGCCTGCAATGTGGGAGACCTGGGTTCAATCGCTGGGTTGGGAGGATCCCCTGGAGAAGGGACAGGCTACCCACTCCAGTATTCTGGCCTGGAGAATTCCATGGACTGTATAGTCTGTGGGGTCACAGAGTCGGACACGACTGAGTGACTTTCACTTAGTGATCTAGCTGTGGGGAGAAGTTGCTAATTTGATGACATTTTAGGCAGTTTCTCTTTTTATGGAATCTTGTGAAATGATGAGCAGATTGAGTGGGGTATTATAGTGGACTGACCTGACAGTGTTTGATAAGCAAGGTTAGGATGGTGATGGTTTATACTTTATATGCCTTTATAGTGGTAAATTGGTAATATTAAAAGTAAAAAATAAATTGGTGGTATTCAGTATGAGATTCAGAAAAAGATACACATGAAAATTTTCTATTTTTACTGATGGGTTTTATATAATTTCATCCTTATTTAAAGAATCTTATTTGCCTGTGCCTATAAAATTATTAACACATTGGTAATTTGAAATCACTTAAAGAACACAAGGGAGTAATATATGCCTTAAATTCTATATGCTGTAATTGAAAGGACTTTCACATACATTAGCTCCTTTGCCTTTCAGATGTAAGAAATGTCAAGAATTGGTAAAATATCCTTTTATTTATTAAAAACTTTTTTTTTTTTTTGGGCCATGCCATATGGCGTGTGGGATCCTCATTTCTTAACCAGGGATCCAACCTGTGCCCCCTGCATTGGAAGTGTGGAGTCCTAACCCCTGGACCACCAGGGAAATTCCTAAAATATATCCCATTTTAGAAATAAGAGAATCCCCTGAATTCAATGACAACTTAAGCTTTAGATATTCTTGATAGCTCTTTGAATTGCTTTTGGTCTAAAGTTTTAGGATGCTGGATTTGTGGAGTGGTATATTTATTGCAGGGTTTTTTTTTTTTTTTTTTAAGCTATGTAATCTGGGAAGCCTTAGTTCTGGTTTGTTTGTTTTATTATTTGGGGAGTATTTGTAATTAGGTTTTGTAAGTTGGAATGATATTAAATGTTCAGGATGATTGGTATTTTCAAAACCAAATCATGTTATAAAATTGTTAACTGATTGAGCTACCTTTTGTGAATCCTATGTTTTTTGTGCCTTGGTCAGGGGGAAAAAATACATTTATTTATATATTTTAAATGAGGACATAGACAAAGAGGATAAGATTTGGATATATTAAGTATAAGTTTATACAATGAAATTATTATTTAGTGTTGATCCCTCTGTCCCTCCTTTGAAATAAGGTAGAAGTGAAAGGGTTTCCCAGGTAGCTCAGTGGTAAAGAATCTGTCTGCCAACACAGGAGATGTGAGCTCTATCCCTGGGTCAGGAGAATCCTCTGGAGAAGGAAATGGCAACCCACTTCAGTATTCTTGCCTGGGAAATCCCATGGACAGAGGAGCTTGGCTGGCTGTAGTTCACAGGGTTGCAAAGATTTGGACACCACTTAGCGACTAAGCAGCAGCAGAAATAAGTAAAGGTAGTTAAATAGTTGTGTCAGAATATCTAGAAATAAGTAAAGGTTGTTTAAGAGTTGTGTTGTAATGTTTTATGTCAGCTAAAAAGGAATTAGTTTGATGTCATCTAGCTTGTTTTAATTTAGTCCAGGCATTTTCATATTTCTTTCTTTTCTAAAATTCTGATCATGAAAAGGAGAAAAACCAGTGTACATTTGGTTTAGGTTCCATCTGAGAATCTGTCAGTAATGCACAGGCTTCAAAGCAATAATTTTATTTAGTTTATATATACAGATCATTGTTCTTGATTTAGAGAAAAAGTAAACTACTTTTTGACACAACCTATTCTGAGTTATTATAATGCAGAGCTGTATGCTTGCTTGTCTGTTGGTATTTACAGTTGTTTTACTTTGGTATCATTGAATGTCATGTATTTATAATATTATTTTTGCAGTGTTTAAAAAAATAACTACTAGGTGTTTTTTGGGATATGTTTAATGTGTTTGACACAAATAATATGAAGAAAAGTATACTTGAATAGCTTAATTCTAAAGGGAAAATAAAACTGTTTGGATTTATACCCTGAAATGTAATTGTATTAAGTGAATAAATTATTTTTTCCAGGCAGACTCCAGGTTAAAAGCGCTTAATGCAACATTCAGAGTGAAAAACCCAGACAAGTAAGGTTTTGTTTTAATAACAGTTACAATGTTGTTTTGAATGGTGCCTATCAATCTATTTAATTTTTCATTTCTGAATGTATGCACTTTATTTGCTAAATATTTTAAATAGAAATTCATATTAGTGAAATCCTTTTAAAGTCTAAAACTGATTTTGAAATTTGATGATTTTATTGGGATTAAGGTTGTAAGTAACTGAAGTTTTAGGAAATGAAACCACTGCTTTTTCCTGGAAGGATTTATTAAGTGTTATTGAAGGTATCAGAAAAATGAGGAAAGTAATTTTAATTTCATATAAAATAGGTTTTCTTATTAGACTTTGCTTGTCAGATATGTGCAAAACTCAAGATAATATATTATCTATTTTAATAATAAACTACTTTGAATGCCAAGAAAACTTGATAAGTAAATGCATACTAGTATAATAATTTCATGGAACTATATCTATATGATGGTTACCTGACTTCATTAATGTTAGTTTGGAGTTTGTGAGAGCATTTCTATATTAATGAAGCTGTGTATTCGGAAATAACTTTCCGAAGGGTGGAATCTAGGTATTTAAGATTTGGTTTTGCTCATTCTTTGAATTTGGCAGATAATTCAGGCTCTTCATCACACGTACCTTTGCCTCAGGCTTAGTTCAGCTGTACTTTCCAGTTAGAAATGTGCTTAGGTAGATGGGGTTCTTGGAAAAACCCAAGTTAAAAGACCAAGTTTACGAGGTCTGTTAGAAGTTCGCTAGTCAGGCCTTCAAGCCTTAACTTCTACGTAGTGTACATTTTTAGCAGACAAAGGCCAAATTTGCATAGTCTAATAGCCTGTTATGCTGATTTTCATAAACCGTAACACATTAGAGTAATGCCTCTACTTTTTAATATAACTTTTGAATATAAGATGTAAATATTAATATTTTAAAGTTTTGGTAATTAGGAAATTGTGATGGTAACCATTGAGGTTTTCACTTTTTTAATAGACTTTGTTTCTTAGAGTAGTTTTAGGTTCCTAGGAAAACTAAGTGAAACATCATACAGAGCTCCCATATCCCCTCTGCCCCTACACTTGAACAGCTGTTCCTGGATACACACAGCCACCCCTGTTATCCCTTACCAGCGTGATACCAGGCTGATAAGATTGATCAGCCTGCATTGACTCATCATGATGCCTGTCAAAGTGCATAGTTTACATCAGGGTTCACCCTTGGTGTTATATATTGCATGGATTTTGACACATGTACAGTGACATGTATGTATCATTATAGTATTATGAAAAGTATTTTCACTGTGCTAAAAATCCTCTTTGCTCTCCCTTTTTATCTCTTCCTTCCCATAACCCTAACAACCACTGATCTTTTTACTGTTTCCATAGTTTTGCCTTTTCCAGAATGTTGTATCATAGTACGGGGCATTTTCAGACAGACATTTGCTTTACAGTATGCATTTAAGATTCCGCTGAGGTTTTAATAAAGGTTATGACATCCATAGTATATAAGAAGTGTTGTCTAGATTAAGAACTAAAAGGTTAGACATCCATAGTATATAAGAAGTGTTGTCTAGATTAAGAACTAAAATCATGTCACCTTCCAAAAAAAGCTTTGGAAAATGTAAGCGGCAGAGTTTACAACATTGGTGAATGTACATTCGTTACAGGAGCGTGTAAATGAGACAATTTAATATTTTAATGCTACTGTTAGTCAAGTGTTTTTTTAAAAAATGTCAATTGTATGTTTGTCTTCCCTTTTCTGACCTACTATCTTTTCTAGTTTGCTAAATTTTATTTAATATCCATATTATAGAATTTTAAATGTGATACGGCCAATAACATAACCAGGGCAGTTATTTGCTCCTAATTTCTTGTTAAAGTATATAATTAGTAATAGAATTTGTTTGCCTTAAGTTTTAGATTAGAGAATTATCTGTATCGGTCATTGTTGTAACAGATTTTTAATATATAGAATCTCTGTTCTAGGTCTAGCTGGCCCAGTAGATTAGTTATTATTCATAGTACTACTAAAATAGTTTATATCACTAAAACACTTTCTTTCTGTTCTTTCTTAAAATCTAGAAAACCAGAAAGAGTTTCAGAGGGAATACCAAAATAATACCTCCTTCATGCACGTTTATTTTTCTTTCCTTTTTTTTTTTTTCATTTATTTTTATTAGTTGGATATTTTTCTTTAGACTGTTCAAAGTAGTGAGGAGGAGGACCTTGAGTCTTCTACTTCCTTGTGGCAGTATTTGGCTGATATTTAGGAGGTAAACCAAGTGATTAATAGAATGTATGGGATGAAAGAGAGGAGAAGGAAATACAGGTGACACCTAGGTTTCATTCTTTAAACTGCTAGGGAGTACAGAGGAGAGAGATTTGATGGGATAGGGGAAGATAAGTTGAACTTTGGATATGTAAGCAGCTACTAATATCTGCTAGCCAGTTGGCATTATAGAGCGAGCATTTCGGAGAGAGTTTTGGGCTGGAGATAGATATTTGGAGTTCAGCAGCATGTAGATCATAATCGTGAAGCTTTGTGAATAAGTCACATAGAGTACAGGCTTCCCACATGACGCTAGTGGTAAAGAACCTGCCTACCATTGCAGGAGACCCAGGATGATCCCTGGGTCAGGAAGATCCTCTGGAGGAGGGCATGGCAACCAACTCCAGTATTCTTACCCGGAGAATCCCACGGACAGAGAAGCCTGGTGGGCTAGAGTCCATAGAGTCGCAAAGAGTCAGTCACAACTGAAGTGACTTGGCCCGCATGCACGCACATAGAGTATGTAGACCAAATGATTGGTTGTAATATGGGCAAGGACCTAGGGCTGAACTCTAAAGAAACCAGTGCTTGAAGGGTGTTTTCCATAGTATAATCTGAAGATTACCAGCATCTGAACCCTGTGAGTGAGTTTGTTATAAATTCAGATTCCTGAGTCCCACTAGGGCCTCTGTGTACAGTTATGGTGATTACTCATGCCTTCTTTTACTGAGGCCCTCAGTTGTGTTTCTGGCAAATATTTTAGGAGTCTTTTGCACATTAAAGTTGACAGTATAAGAGATTGGTGAAGGAAGTCAGTCCTGCAAAGGAGACTTTAGGAGTGACCAGAGAGTAAAAGGAAAAATTAACAATGATGTCAAGGAAATAAGTTTTTGAGGAGGGTGAAGTAAGCTGTTACATTGCTGGAAGAGCAGTGTTATATGAAGTTTCAGGTCGTTACGGAGAATGGCAGGTATTAGATTATAGAAACAAAGATTACTGAGCAGCATGAAGATTAGGGTTCGAGATCATGAGTTTATGTTTATACCAAAAGATTTTTTTAGCACCATAAATTTTCTCCTGTTTTCTTTTTTTCCCAAGTAATTTTTCATACCAACAAATTTTATCTGTATCTCAGTTCCACGGTATTAATTATAAAGTATGACATCTTTCCTTGGCTTTAAAAATATCTAAAGAAAATGTGGTTATTTAATTTAAGAGCTCTTTTTTTTTTCATTTATTTTTATTAGTTGGAGGCTAATTACTTTATAATATTGTAGTAGTAATTTTAGAACTTTTTGAGTTTGTATCAGTGTGTAAATGTTTAAGGCTAGCATATGGTTAAATAGAGTCAGTCTCATTATTCTCAGGAACTGCTGTTTTGTCTTTCAGTTTTTGACTGCTTTTCATGAAAAAAATGATGTTTTGTTTCCTATTTCAGGAGATTTATTGAACTAAAACACTATAGTGATGAACTCCAATCTGTCATCTCACATCTCCTTCGAGTCAGAGCTGTAAGTGGTCACCAGAATCTTTTTGACAGGTGTTTTTATGGAAGTGCTTCTCATTTAATCATTATGTTTTTAAGTAATGGAAGATATTTATGATGAATAACTGATTTTTATATTCAAATTTGGTGTGTTATTCACCTAAATTGCATTTTTTTTAATTGTGAAATTTTTTCTGGCATAGATAACTTAAAGAATTTTAACGTATTGTTTTCTCTGTAGTCTTTGTATGGTTTCTTGTTTTTTTTTTTTTCCCCTTAGTATATGGTTGTTTTGACAAACATTTATCAAAGGGCCTGCCATTTTAGCATTGAATATAATTGTGTGACTTTGATCTACCTATTCTTTTTTTCTTTCAAGATTTTTTTTTAAGGTTGGTAAATAGTTAATATTAAGTCATTCTGTGTCTGTGCTCTTATATTATCCTAAATAAACTTATGTAGGGTAATGGTCTGCTATGACATGAGGAACTAGAAATATACCAGTGATGATTGTACTTACCTGTAGAGTTTGGCTGTAATAGACATGGAGAAATATATTTTTGGGTGGATTAATGTAGTATCTGAAAAATGTTGTATCATCCACTCTGGTCCTTTGGGGTAACCTAGAGAAAACCTTAGAACTGGTCTTAAAGGCTTTGAAAGACACTGAGTTACCAGGTCTGGGATCATATCTTACACTCATTGGAATCATCTTGAAATGAAATATATTATCTGGGATTTGTTTTAATGAAAGAGTCTGCTGGTAAAGGGTGCAGAGTGGGGTCAACTTTAGATGCAACTTAATTGGCCATATGATAATTGTTGATGGTTAAGTGTTGGGAAATGGGGTATATCCTACTATTCTCTACTTTCTGTATGTTTGAAGATTTCATAAAAAGTATAAAAATATAAAGTAAGGGAACACTCTTTTTGAAGTATCCTCATATTGGCCCAATCTGTGTAACCATCCAGAGTACTATAGGACTCTTTATGTAAATTGTAAGATACTTTGTAGGAAAAGAAAAAGGTACCTATGAGAATTATTAGGGTAGAGTCAAGAATGGGGTATTGAAAAGGACTCGTGAATTGATGAGATAAAGTTTCTAGGCCTCTAGTTGCTTTGAAGTTACCTAAACAAATAAGGCAACAGTTCTTAATGGAAAGGAAGATGGGGTCAGAGACACCCCAGAAGACTGGAAGAACCCTTCATATTGTTTTGTCTTCTCTGTCCAAAAACCTGGAGAATTTACTTAAATTAGAGGTCTGGCTGATTATGAAAGCTGTATCCTTCTTAAAGACCTTCCACCAAAGGGAAGAGGGGGCACCCTGTGGAAGGTGTCATGCCGCAGGAAGCTGGACAGTGCTGGGGGTCTTGGGTGGGCAGAGGCACGCTGTTAAAGCAGGCACGTGACCAGCCCCAGGTATTGAGAGGTTCTCAAGCAGTCGTTCACATCCAGAAGAAACAAAGGGAAAAGGCAGAAAAACCAACCATAGTCAGATTTTGCAGAAGTGTCGGTGATGAGTGGTGAATTGAACAAAGTGTAACAGTTAAAACCCAGAAAATCTGTAAAGTGTAGGGAATAAGTTTGAATGAGATCTAGAGGAGGGAGGAAATAACTGTCATCACTGTTGTGAAGCTGTGCTGCAGATCATCTAGCCTGCAAGAAGGTATGGGTGATTGCTCTCATAAAGCAAGTAAGAAAATTATCACAGTCAAGGTAGGATATCCAGTGATCATATTTGGCTTTCTGCTGAAAGTATATTTTTGAATGTGATTAATACTTAATGATCTTTAGAGATCATGATAAAATGTAATAGTGATGTTACAGAAAATTTTGAGTCTCGCACACAGCTGTTTCAGTACTTTGTACATTTCATTTTGAGGGCTTCCCTCATGACTCAGTGGTAAAGAATCTGCCTGCTAATGCAGGAGAGGTGCAGGGGACTAGGGTTCGATCCCTGGTTTGGGAAGATCCCCTGGAGAAGGAAATGGCAACCCACTCCAACATTCTTGCCTGGGAAATCCCATGGACAGAGGAGCCTGGTGGGCTACAGTCCATGGGGTTGCAGAAGAACATGACTTAGTGACTAAACATTGCGGCACTTTGTTTTAGCCTTGTTCTAACTATTTTTAACCATGCCAAGCTTGTTTCTGGTCTTTTATTTGCTGTTTCCTGGGCCTGTACCATTCTTCCCCCATGCCCTACCGCCAGGATCCTCTCTTGGCTTATTCTTTTTGTTGTTCAGTTATTGGTTCAAATACCTCTTGAGAGAAATTATCTTTCCTGAGCATCCTATATAAAATGCGGTGCAGGTTTCTATTGTTTCTGTCATTTTCTGTCATTCTGAACTGTTAATTATTTCCTCTACTAGTATATATGTGAGCTCGCAAGAGCAGGAGCTTTGTTTTCTTACTGCTGAATCCTGAGAATAATGTCTGACTCAAAAAGCACCCACTATGTATTCATTGAATGGATGAATAAATAAATGTATGTGCTGACAGTTTCATGTTTAAAAAAATCTTGAAAAGCAGTAAGATAAATTGCTTCTTGAACTTAACTATAACCAGCCAAGGGGAACTGGTTAGTAAGGTATATATGACAGGAACTTCTAAAGAAAATGACCTTGTCATCAAAGAGCTTGTAATATACAAGTAAGAGAATTCTGGGTCTAGATATTTACCCTAGACTTTATGAAAACAGGTTTCAGAAACTTAATTGACCTTAAAGACTGCTTGAGCGCTTCAAAGGAAAGACAGCACTTGATCTGTGAGTCAGATTGAGATTTTGACTGTGTAAATAAGATAAATGCCAGTGAAAAATATGGAATAGCTGAAATCTTGATTGTTCTAGAATTAGGAAAAAGGCTCTTTAATCATTGACAATAACATAAAAGTTAAAAATGGAAGGTTAGAGCCCAACACTTGACAGAATCCTGAAAACAACATAGAGATTGCCACAGGGAGAGCCTTTTTGTAACATTCAGTGTCAGGAGAAGAAGCCTTTAGACACTGTTGGAGACATGATGACTTGTTAACAGATAAAGAGAAAATACAATTATTTGGTTATCTTTTCTGTTGGGAAAAAATCTTTTGAAAGTCTTGATAGAAAAGGTGAAAAATAAATGACTTACAGGTTAAAGAGTTAATATTTAAGATATTAAAAACAGAACAACCAGAAAGGGTGGGTAGTCTTAAATTGAGAGGAGCTGGAGTTAACACTTGTGTCTGCCGTTTACTAAGTTTTTCAGGCAAATCTAGAGACCTTTTAGAGTTTGTTTTCTTGGAGAGTATCTGCCTTGTACACAGTAGGTACTGCATAAATTTTTGTGACATGAGTGAGTGTGTTATTCATAGAGTTGTGATAATCGGATGAGATCATCCATGTTTCATAAACTAAAACAAAAGGAAAAAATACTAATTTCTAATATTTTGAACTGTGGTGTTGGAGAAGACTCTGGAGAGTCCTTTGGACTGCAAGGAAATCAAACCAGTCCATCCTGAAGGAAATCAGTCCTAAGTGTTCATTGGAAGGACTGATGCTGAAGCTGAAACTCCAATACTTTGGCCACCTGGTGCAGAAAACTGATTCATTGGAAAAGACCCTGATGCTGGGAAAGATTGAAGGCAGGAGGAGAAGGGGATGACAGAGGATGAAGATGGTTGGATGGCATCACCGACTCGATGGACATGAGTTTGAGTAAATTCTGGGAGTTGGTGATAGACAGGGAGGCCTAGTGTGCTGCAGTCCATGGGGTCGCAAAGAGTCAGACGTGACTGAGGACTGAACTAAACTGAACTGATCTAATATTTATTATCTTTACTGTTGTATATAAGCCAACCATGGTATGTTATTTTTACCTAATTCTGACAGTGGCCCTTTGAAAGTAGGTGCTGTGACTGTCCCCAGTTTATAGATTAGGAAGCAAATCCCTTTTTTCTTATAATCATATTTGCTGCCTCTCTAGGGGAAATCACATTTAGAAGGGAAGGAGGATTGCTTAACTTTGCTAATATGCTAACTGTGTAAGCTGAAATTATTGAGCTACTATTTAACATTTAATTTGTAGTCATTTGTATAGATAGCAATATGTAGTGTTTATGAAATATTCGGTGATGGCAATGTAAAGTCTTACAACTCCTTTGGGAAAGATTTTAGCAGTAGTGTCATGAGTCTTAAATTCCATGATCATTGCCTCCTTAGGAGGTAATTTCAGAAGAAAAACTATGTGTCCAGATTTTTAAAGTAAGATCATTTAATAGACTGTCATAAAACTTTATGTCCTTTTTAACATTTAATCTGCTACTACTTCAGTATGGATAGGGAAGGCATTCTTAGCATAGATCCAAATGATTCAGAGCTGGGGAGGATGATATGATGAGTCTGTCAGGTTTCTTCTGTTGTCATATTATTTGCTAGGTGTCAGTCCTCTCCTGTCAGTTGTTAAGATGATCAGTTTTCAAAAAGAAAGACTTGTCAACAGAATTGAAATTGAGTGGCAGTCTAGACTAAATCATTGGGTCTAGCCCCTTTTCCCTGGCACCACGATTCTTGATTACCAGTGACCATTGAATTAATCTGGTTTTGTTGTTGTTTAGTCCCTGTGTTGCATCTGACTCTTTTGTGACACCATGGACTGTAGCCCCCCAGGCTCCTCTGTCCATGGAACTTCCCAGCCAAGAATACTGGAATGGGTTGCCATTTCCTTCCCAGGGGGACCTTCCTGATCCAGGGATTGAACCCACATCTCCTGTGTCTCCTGCATTGGCAGGTGAATTCTTTACCACTGAGCCATAGGTTTTAATAATTCATGATTTATTTCCTGGCCATCTTTATCTTTACTTTTCTGTAGAAATGCTCATCTTTGGTCTATAGTTTTTCTTTGCTTCATCTTTTTTCTCACTGCCTGATGATCTGGGTACTAGTCATCTCGTGTTTTAGCTGGCTAGCACAATTTACTTCCATGAGTAGTTGATAGCAGAAACATCACTGCTGGTTCAGTAACAACTGCTGAGTGGCTCTGTGTTGCCTCATTCTCTAGTAGAGTGGTTCCTTGTGTAGTTGCTCATCTTTCTGGCGTATGAGAACTCTTGCCTCTTTTTGTCATGCTCTGTGGACTAGAGTATTTTCCAGAGCTCTAATTATTATGATTGAAGCTTTTTTTGTATCTGCTGCACGGAGTGATAAAATTTAAAGAAAAAAACCAAAACTTTTAAACACCTGGGATTCAAAAACTTTTTCTTGCACGTTTATTTTGGATATGTATTTTGTATTTAAGTTGCTCTAGTTTTTATACTTATGTGGTTATTTAACAAATTCTTTCCCTCTTTTCCATGCTTTGTATCTTAGGTAGATGATAAAATGCTCAGCTTTCAGGAGGAGGTTTGATTTTTCAAAGTATAAGAATCTAGAAAAGTTAGTAGTTTAGAATGGCATTTTCCATTTTGTCATCTTCAGAATGCTAGTCCTATTAGATGGTCCCTACTGCAAATCACGCCCTCTGAGTAGTCCGTATTCATATATAGTGTTAAAGATCTAAAAAGTCAGGTAGAAAAAAAAAACCACAACAACCTGTTAAACTTTAAATCTCATTGTTTCCAAAATTTATTTAACAATGGAACCCATTTAAACAACCAGTCAACACTCTGTAGGACTCTCAAAAAATAATTGGGAAATAACGTCCCAGAGTAACTAGTTTAGAGGTCTGCGGACAACCCTGAAAAATTTCAAGCATAGTAAAGACTGTGAATTTTGTACTGGAAATGGAGTCTAGTACAGGAGTTGGCAAACTTTTTCTGAAGGCCAGATAGTAATTATTTTCACCTGCTTGGGTCGTATGGCCCTTGTTGAAGCTGTTCAAGTCTGCTGTGAAAGCAGCCATAGGTAGTGCTAACGTGAGTGAGTATGACTGTTCTAGTAAGACTACACAGAAACTAGCTGTAGACCAGTAGTGTGCTGTCCCCTCATCTAGCAGGTGTGTGTTTTTTCATAGCAGGTCAAGGAGAGATGGAAAGCACTTTATGATCCTCTTGTACCAGCTCCGAGTTTTACAGTGTGGTTTACTGACTTTTAAGCTGAAGTGTTGAACAGGTTAAGATTTGTATGGCTAATGCCTGTTTCCTCAAATTACTCATATTTGAGTAAGGAATTTGGCCACCTGATTCGAAGAGCTGACTCATTTGCAAAGACCCTGATGCTGGGAAAGATTGAGGGCAGGAGGAGAAGGGATGATGAGATAGTTGGTTGGATGGCATCACTGACTCAATGGACATGAGTTTGGGTAAACTCTGGAAGTTGGTGACGGACAGGGAGGCCTGGCATGCTGTGGTTCATGTGGTTGCAAAGAGTCGGACATGACTGAGTGACTGAACTGAACTGAACTGAGTAAGGAGTTAGAGGGGCAGTTCATCTTCAGGATTTACATTGAGAAATTGTATACTAGAAATTTTTTTTAAAGAGTTTTATGTGGCATTGACTTCTGGTCTTCTATTTCATGTCCATAACACTTTGAAGAAAGGAGATTACCACACACAGTGTTTTTTGTCTTTTGCAAGATGTGTGTGAATGATGGGGTGGTATGTGTTTTAATCTCAGTGAGCTAAACTGTAATTCTACTGTTATTAAATGGTTAGAAGGCATCAATTTGATAAAATAGCACAGGAAGTATATTGCATGTGTGTAGCATTTATGTATAAAACTATCAATAATACAATTGAAAATGTTTATATTCTCTTCCCTGGTAGATCCCTCTTTGGGGACTTTTATCTTAAGGAAGCAGTCTGAAATTTGGAAAAAGCTGTACTCTCAGAGAATGCTTATTTAATACAGAAAAAAGTTAGGGATAACTGAGTACCTGACAAGGACTGTCTATATAATTTATATACCACTAGGTGAAATTTTATGCATCTATTTTTTTAACTGGTATCTATTAAAAATAATATTAACCTGCTGGATAAAAATATTAGCACTCTTGGTATAGGAAATTTTAAAATGTTAATTAAAACATATATATATGTACATATATATATGAAAAAATTATATAAATATGATGACAACATTAGTTTTTTCCCCCATGATGAGACTTTGGGAGATTTAAGCTCTTTTTTTTTTGCATATTTTTCAAGTTGTACTAAGTATACATTTGTATTTTTTAATGAAGATAAAATGTATTTTTAGTAATCTGTTTATAACTTATAAACAGTGAACGGTTTATAACTAATAGCAATTTCTTTTGAATATTTCTTCCAGAGAGTAGCAGATCGACTATATGGTGTGTATAAAGTACATGGGAATTACGGGCGAGTTTTCAGGTATGCATTATACAAACTTTTATAATAAACAACAGTTAGCTCTAATCAGCTTTTTGCATAAGAACTGTAATTCTTGAATATATATGAGTCTGCAAAGCAAAAGATAATTTTTAATTGTTATTTATTTATTTTCTGTGCTGGGCTGGGTCTTCTAGTATGTATGTGCCTTCTAGTTGTGGCGCACAGGCTTAGTTGCCCTGCAGCCTGAGGGATCTTAGTTCCCTGACCAGGGATCCAACCCACGTTCTGTACGTTGAAAGGCAGATTCTTAACCACTGGACCACCAGGGAAGTCCCAAAAGCTTATTTTTAAAATCCTGTTCAGTAGTAGTAGTCTTCAGACTTTTCCTGCAAGCTCTTAATTCCCTGATCAGGGATCAAACCTATACCCCCATGTAGTGGCAGAGACTGGACTGCCAGGGAGTTTTAAGTCTTCAAACTTTTTCTTGTAAAGCCTTTCTTTAAATAAAAAATAGTAAAGGAGTCTAATATATTGAGCAGATAAAATATAAACTTCTCTTAAGCAGTGAGCAGTGTCTTTTATTTTCTTGGCAGATTGCCCAAGGAGATTCCTTTTAAATCACTGTCATATTGAGTTGGTGGTTTTCTTTTTCTTTTTTTTTTTTCATTTATTTTTATTAGTTGGAGGCTAATTACTTTACATCATTGCAGTGGTTTTTGTCATACATTGAGATGAATTAGCCATGGATTTACATGTATTCCCCATCCCGGTCCCCCCTCCCACCTCCCTCTCCACCCGATCCCTCTGGGTCTTCCCAGTGCACCAGGCCCGAGCACTTGTCTCATGCATCCAACCTGGGCTGGTGACCTGTTTCACTATAGATAATATACGTGTTTCGATGCTGTTCTCTTGAAACATCCCACCTTCGCCTTCTCCCAGAGTCCACAAGTCTGTTCTATACATCGGAGTCTCTTTTTCTGTTTTGCATATAGGGTTATCGTTACCATCTTTCTAAATTCCATATATATGTGTTAGTATACTGTAATGGTCTTTATCTTTCTGGCTTACTTCGCTCTGTATAATGGGCTCCAGTTTCATCCATCTCGTTAGAACTGATTCAAATGAATTCTTTTTAATGGCTGAGTAATATTCCATGGTGTATATGTACCACAGCTTCCTCATCCATTGGTCTGCTGATGGGCATCTAGATTGCTTCCATGTCCTGGCTATTATAAACAGTGCTGCGATGAACATTGGGGTGCACGTGTCTCTTTCAGATCTGGTTTCCTCGGTGTGTATGCCCAGAAGTGGGATTGCTGGGTCATATGGCAGTTCTATTTCCAGCTTTTTAAGAAATCTCCACACTGTTTTCCATAGTGGCTGTACTAATTTGCATTCCCACCAACAGTGTAAGAGGGTTCCCTTTTCTCCACACCCTCTCCAGCATTTATTGCTTGTAGACTTTTGGATAGCAGCCATCCTGACTGGTGTGTAATGGTACCTCATTGTGGTTTTGATTCGCATTTCTCTGATAATGAGTGATGTTGAGCATCTTTTCATGTGTTTGTTAGCCATCTGTATGTCTTCCTTGGAGAAATGTCTGTTCAGTTCTTTGGCCCATTTATTGATTGGGTCATTTATTTTTCTGGAGTTGAGCTGGAGGAGTTGCTTGTATATTTTTGAGATTAATCCTTTGTCTGTTGCTTCGTTTGCTATTATTTTCTCCCAATCTGAGGGCCGTCTTTTCACCTTGCTTATAGTTTCCTTTGTTGTGCAAAAGCTTTTAAGTTTCATTAGGTCCCATTTGTTTATTTTTGCTTTTGTTTCTAAAATTCTGGGATGTGGGTCATAGAGGATCCTGCTGTGATTTATGTCGGAGAGTGTTTTGCCTATGTTCTCCTCTAGGAGTTTTATAGTTTCTGGTCTTACATTTAGATCTTTAATCCATTTTGAGTTTATTTTTGTGTATGGTGTTAGAAAGTGTTCTAGTTTCATTTGTTTACAGGTGGTTGACCAGTTTTCCCAGCACCACTTGTTAAAGAGGTTGTCTTTTTTCCATTGTATATCCTTGCCTCCTTTGTCGAAGATAAGGTGACCATAGGTTCGTGGATTTATCTCTGGGCTTTCTATTCTGTTCCATTGATCTATATTTCTGTCTTTGTGCCAGTACCATACTGTCTTGATGACTGTGGCTTTGTAGTATAGTCTGAAGTCAGGCAGGTTGATTCCTCCAGTTCCATTCTTCTTTCTCAGGATTACTTTGGCTATTCGAGGTTTTTTGTATTTCCATACAAATTGTGAAATTATTCATTCTAGTTCTGTGAAAAATACCGTTGGTAGTTTGATAGGGATTGCATTGAATCTGTAGATTGCTTTGGGTAGTATAGCCATTTTGACAATATTGATTCTTCCAATCCATGAACACGGTATATTTCTCCATCTGTTTGTGTCCTCTTTGATTTCTTTCATCAGTGTTTTATAGTGTTCTATGTATAGGTCTTTTGTTTCTTTAGGTAGATATACTCCTAAGTATTTTATTCTTTTTGTTGCAGTGGTGAGTGGTATTGTTTCCTTAATTTCTCTTTGTTTTCTCATTGTTAGTGTATAGGAATGCAAGAGATTTCTGTGTGTTAATTTTACATCCTGCAACTTTACTGTATTCGTTGATTAGCTCTAGTAATTTTCTGGTAGAGTCTTTAGGATTTTCTATGTAGAGGTTCATGTCATCTGCAAACAGAGAGAGTTTCACTTCTTCTTTTCCTATCTGGATTCCTTTTACTTCTTTTTCTGCCCTGATTGCTGTGGCCAAAACTTCCAAAACTATGTTGAATAGTAGTGGTGAGAGTGGGCACCACTTGTCTTGTTCCTGATTTCAGGGGAAATGCTTTCAGTTTTTCACCATTGAGGGTGATGCTTGCTGTGGGCTTGTCATATATAGCTTTTATTATGTTGAGGGATGTTCCTTCTATTCCTGCTTTCTGGAGAGTTTTAATCATAAATGGATGTTGAATTTTATCAAAGGCTTTTTCTGCATCTATTTAGATAATCATATGGTTTTTATCTTTCAATTTGTTAATGTGGTGTATTACATTGATTGATTTGCAGATATTAAAGAATCCTTGCATTCCTGGGATAAAGCCCACTTGGTCATGGTGTATGATTTTTTTAATATGTTGTTGGATTCTGTTTGCTAGAATTTTGTTAAGGATTTTTGCATCTATGTTCATCAGTGATACTGGCCTGTAGTTTTCTTTTTTTGTGGCATCTTTGTCTGGTTTTGGAATTAGGGTGATGGTGGCCTCATAGAATGAGTTTGGAAGTTTACCTTCTTCTGCAATTTTCTGGAAGAGTTTGAGTAAGATAGGTGTTAGCTCTTCTCTAAATTTTTGGTAGAATTCAGCTGTGAAGCCATCTGGTCCTGGGCTTTTGTTTGCTGGAAGATTTCTGATTACAGTTTCGATTTCCTTGCTTGTGATGGTTTTGTTAAGATCTTCTATTTCTTCCTGGTTCAGTTTTGGAAAGTTATACTTCTCTAAGAACTTGTCCATTTCTTCCAAGTTGTCCATTTTATTGGCATAGAGCTGCTGGTAGTAGTCTCTTATGATCCTTTGTATTTCGGTGTTGTCTGTTGTGATCTCTCCATTTTCGTTTCTAATTTTGTTAATTTGGTTCTTCTCCCTTTGTTTCTTAATGAGTCTTGCTAATGGTTTGTCAATTTTGTTTATTTTTTCAAAAAACCAGCTTTTAGCTTTGTTGATTTTTGCTATGGTCTCTTTAGTTTCTTTTGCATTTATTTCTGCCCTAATTTTTAAGATTTCTTTCCTTCTACTAACCCTGGGGTTCTTCATTTCTTCCTCCTCTAGTTGCTTTAGGTGTAGAGTTAGGTTATTTATTTGACTTTTTTCTTGTTTCTTGAGGTAGGCCTGTAATGCTATGAATCTTCCCCTTAGCACTGCTTTTACAGTGTCCCATAGGTTTTGGGTTGTTGTGTTTTCATTTTCATTCATTTCTATGCATATTTTGATTTCTTTTGTGATTTCTTCTATGATTTGTTGGTTATTCAGAAGCGTGTTGTTTAGCCTCCATATGTTTGAAGTTTTAATAATTTTTTCCTGTAATTAATCTAATCTTACTGCACTGTGGTCAGAAAAGATGACTGGAATGATTTCAACCTTTTTGAATTTACCAAGACTAGATTTATGGCCCAGGATGTGATCTGTTCTGGAGAAGCTTCCGTGTGCACTTGAGAAAAAGGTGAAGTTGATTGTTTTGGGGTGAAACGTCCTATAGATGTCAATTAGGTCTAGCTGGTCCATTGTGTCCTTTAAAGTTTGTGTTTCCTTGTTCATTTTCTGTTTAGTTGATCTATCCATAGTTGTGAGTGGGGTATTAAAGTCTCCTACTATTATTGTGTTACTATTAATTTCCTCTTTCATACTCGTTAGCGTTTGCCTTACATATTGCGGTGCTCCTATGTTGGGTGCGTATATATTTATAATTCTTATATCTTCTTCTTGGATTGATCCTTTGATCATTATGTAGTGTCCTTCTTTGTCTCTTTTCACAGTCTTTATTTGAAAGTCTATTTTATCTGATATGAGTATTGCGACTCCTGCTTTCTTTTGGTCTCCGTTTGCGTGGAATATTTTTTTCCAGCCCTTCACTTTTACTCTGTATGTGTCCCTTGCTTTGAGGTGGGTCTCTTGTAGACAGCATATATAGGGGTCTTGCTTTTGTATCCATTCAGCCAGCCTTTGTCTTTTGGTTGGGGCATTCAACCCATTTACATTGAAGGTAATTATTGATAGGTATGGTCCCATTGCCATTTATTTTGTTGTTTGGGGTTCACGTTTATACCACCTTTCTGTGTTTCCTGTCTAGAGAAGATCCTTTAGTATTTGTTGAAGAGCTGGTTTGGTGGTGCTGAATTCTCTCAGCTTTTGCTTGTCTGTAAAGCTTTTGAGTTCTCCTTCATATCTGAATGAGATCCTTGCTGGGTAGAGTAATCTAGGTTGTAGGTTATTCTCTTTCATTACTCT